GGTGTATTCATATCGAACATACTGGGATATGATGGGAAGAAGGCTGAGTGACTTGTAGGACCACACGATGTGCAAAATCCGAACGGCAACCTCCACGTGCACATTGGGTTACGCTGATGTCGACGGTAATGAACGAAAATACAAGGGTTACTTCAAAAAGCTGTAACTTGGCGGAAAAAAATCGCAGTAACTTCTTCTTTTTTTTAAATTGAAGGGAAAAGTACACACTTTTTGATACTTCGGGCAGAATTAGCGAGGAAAAATTTCCTACGCCCGGGCACCTGGCCAAAGTTGGTTAGTTTTTAGGTAAAAACATGTCCTTACATTTTAAAAGCTACAGCAGCGCAGATGCATTCGAGGAAAAATCTGGTGACTAGTTTTGAAGCTGAGAGTGCAAGCTTTAATTTAAAAAAAAACGATCTTGCTACGATGATTTTTAACGGAGGTATCGTCGGTAATGTCGAAAACACAAGGGTTATTTCAATGAGCTGTGATTTGGCGAAAAAAAATCGTAGGAACTACTTTTTTTTTCAATTGAAGAGAAAAGTATACACTTTTTGATACTGTAAGCAGAACTGGCGAAGAAAAATTACTACACTCCGTACAGTGCGTCAAAGTGTGCAATTTTTTAGAGAAAAAACATGGTAATGATTTTGAAAAAGTTCCGGGAAATGGGAAGAGTGAATGCAAATTCCAATAAGAGCTTCTTAAAGCAGAGGCTTTGCCCTATAAAATGAAAAAAAAACTTTTCAATTCGACCAGTTTTCGCGAAGTTACGCTTATTTGAAATTCATCAAATTTTGATGTAAATTTCTTGTTGCGTTAATTTTTTTGACCAGTGTATATTTGTATTTAGGGTTATCTTAAAAATAATGTTTTTAATGATTTATTATATTTTAAAAAACACGAATTAATACATTTTTTCAGAGAAAATGAGAGAATTAAAATTCCTTTTTCAATAATGTGTGTACGCACGCACGCACGCAGGCACATATTGTTGAAAAAGGAATGTTAATTCTCATATTCTCTGAAAAAATGTATTAATTAGTGTTTTTTTAAACATAATATATCATTACAAAACAAATTATGGTATATATATCTCTCTCTCAACGCCACTTTCTCTAATCGGTGGATTGGTCGTGGCAGTGCCATTAATTGGTCTCTAGACCTAAGTCCGTTGGATTTTTGTTTATGGGGTTGGATAAAGAGTGAAGTCTACAGAAGAAAAGTGAATACACGAGACGAACTGCTCAAATAATGAATGCTAGTGCCCGCATAAAGGAACGTCACGATGTACTCAGACGAGCAACACGCCATGTTCGCACAAGAGTTGAAAAATGCATTAATGTTAACGGTGGAATTTTTGAAAATTTATTATAATATAATTTGTAAAAAATCACTTGAACAATAAATATTAGAAATAGTACGTAGTATTTCTTTATTGTCAGTACTTTTGTAATGGTACATTCAAGTAGCTCTATCTCGGAAACAGTGGGGAATAGGACATATATTCATATGAACATTTTTGCTTAAGATGACCGATACTATCACCTTCCAAAATATTGACCTTTCCTCCTGAATCACCCTGTATATACATATAAGATAATTTCAATGAATAAGTGCCAGGCAATCTCCTCTCAAAAAATTATATTTTCGAAAATATGCATATTGAATTAAAATCCTGTAAGTCAAAATATCGTTATATAATGATTTTATGGCGAGTCACTGTATAGTCATATTGAAGTCATAAAGTTTCAGTGATCAAACTCTGATATTTTCCCGTCATCTTGACGTCACCATTACATCATTTTGACTTTTTGTTCTCCTTGGGGTACACGAATTTCAAGGAACTTCTAGAAATGTTAAGCTTATATAACTTAACAGTTGAGAGGGTAAACTTAAAAAAAGAGTTAAATTATTAACGATAAACGTAATGTAATTTAATTTTCCTGCACCATAGAATGTTTCAGTTACATCGCAACGGTATGCTATTATTTGCAATATTACGGTATATTGTGCTACATAATCATTCTCAAATATAATAGAACTTGTAACACGAATGTTCTTAAATTCTACACTCGCAAGAGACCTGCGATTTTCTTTGCACTTTCTCCCAGCAATATCGTCCTATGATTACCGGTCACCTCTTCTATTCTCACGGGTTCTGTGCAAATCTGAAAAATAATAAAAGGTAAAGTGTACATCTTCCATATGAGTAGTAGGGAGTTAAAATATAATATTGTAGAATTAATAGCCTTTGAACAAAGTTCATATTTACTGACATATAACATTTTTGAATCGAGTCTATGCGATGGATTTTTATTCTTAGAGGCTCATATGCACGTTGTAGATATTATATCAATCATGGGACTTTAATTTTTGGAGGTAGCTATTGTCTTACAAGATGCTCGACGTATTTGATTAAAAGTATACTAAAGCATTACAGTGATTATTTAATTTCAAACTTATAATTTATAATACTGCAACCAGTGTTACAAATTACAAAAAGAAAAACAACATTGGGGCTATTGAAGAAGTTTAATAAAGCAGTGGGAACATAAAGAAGATAAATCTCTCACCCTTGATAAATCGTAATCTTTTTCTAAAGATACAAAGGTCTCTGTAGCTTTAATCAATGTGACCGGTCCTTTGATCTTTTTAGTCGGATTATAGTTTAGAGCAGCTGCTAGTTTCTTGAATAAAAGATGTCCAGCGATCTTTAGATCATTCTGTGTAAACGGCGTGTCGCCTATCACTTCTATCATCTTGTCAAACATCTCCACATTTGATTTACTCTGTTTCAAAATATCGTACGCCTGAAATAAAACAGCGTAGATTGTAAAACAGTTATACATATACGAAGATAACGATTGCAAAAAATAAAGATGTGTAAACATACGAGAATAATCTTAATATACGACTATTAATTACAAGTCAGCTATTCTGCTAAGGCTCTTAAAACAGTACATTTAAGACTATCTTAAATTACATAAAAATAAATTATAATATGATGTCGGCTTTTGAATATAACGTGCTTTACACTTTAAACAGGTACCATATGTGCTTTGAATATGTTTCATTATTCGTGCTTTTCCTTACCTCTTTACTTCATGGTAAAAGACGACAGATAGAATGGATCAGTTCCATGATACTTACTTGTATGAAACTGATGGTATTATTAAATTGTATGCTGAAATATGCCAGTGTTTTCATACACAAGTTGGAAATAATACCCTCTTCCAAGTTATCCAGTCTGCCGACCATTTTAATATGCTGTTGCGTGAATGCCGGTGAACCATCGATTAGACTCAGAACAACCTTCTCTCCAGCAGATTCCAATTGCAGAGTCATTTCGATGGCAACGCAAACTCCAAACGAGTATCCTGCCAAATGGTATGGTCCTTTTTTCTGAAGTTTTCGAACGGTGTTGACATAGAATTCCGCTAACTCCGACAGCGTTTCATGAGGCGCCTGCTCAATGCTCTGCAGACCCCATAACGGCCTCTCGAGTTCACTGGCCACATGGTCTAGCGAGTTAACGAGACCTTCAATACCATGGACGACAAACAACGGTGGTCCGTTGGAATTCTTTGTTTCTAAGCGAACGAGCACCTCTTTAGGCAGTACCTCGTTGTTCGGCCACTGCATCCGTAGCATGTCGGACGATACATTTGTGTCTACACTCGTGGCCGCGTTCACCGAGAAAGATTGCTGCTGTTTCATTATCTCACTGGTCGAAGATAATTCTTGCAGTTTGACAAAAGTAATGGCACGAATATCACGGGTCGACAGCAGGATGTCAAAGCTCCTCTCGAGAATCTGTTTGATTTCTGTACTCATCAGCGAGTCCATACCCAGGTCGGCCAAACTATCGTTGGGATTGATCGAATTAATATCTTTGATGCCTAGAATATTGGCAATTGTTGCGATGAAGTTGGACTTGCTGCTGTCATCGGATGCAGATTTATGTTTCTCAGCTAACACTGAGGAAACCAGCACCGGGTGCGGTTGTTGAAGGAATATATCCATCGTCGTGAGGCAACTTGACATGTCTTGTTGTGCAGTGCCACGCAGCACAATGTCGTCTCCCATCGTTTCTAAAGAAATGACAATATCGTAATAAAGAAAATGCGATTGCGAAATGTACAAAGTATTCAAACCGTAAATCTAGAAATAGTATGCAAATTGTGCGTACGTACATTTATTAATATTATCTCATATAATCGTGTTCAAAAGGGCACAAACTTAAAGGCATCAGTCAAGATTGAGTTTACAAACCAAAGAAAAAATAAGTAAAGATTTGGAAAAGTTCCGATCCGTTGATTCTGATCTAAAAACGTTACATGAATTACCAATTAGTACGCCAACATCGTTGATGGCACCCCATTGTATGGCGACACCGGGTAAACCATTTGCCTGCCTCTTCTCCATCAGTCTCTCTATGGTCGAATTCGCGAAACCGTAATTGGTTTGACCAATATTGCCGAGACCGGACACCTTGGACGAAAATACCACAAAGTAATCTAGCGCCGGGCAGAGTTTTCTTGACACTGCATCTAAACTCTTTGTTATATCGATTTTTGGCAAAGTGACCGTTTTAAAATCGGCTTCCTTCAGATTTTCGATTAGGGCATCGTGAAGTACAATCGCCAGATTGAATATACCGCCTACTGGAGCTAGACGATTGCTTTCCTGGATTAAGTGCTCGGCACCCAACAACGTCGTAGCATCCGACGTAGAGATCACGACTTTTGCGCCGCCCTCGCGCCAGCGACGCACACACAATGCTTGGTAACCGGTGCGAATACCTGTGCGCGATACGAGAATGATAAATTTGGCGCCGCGGGCGATCATCCAGTTGACTAATTCTAAACCGAATCCACCGAGACCGCCGACCAGGACGTATGATTTTTCCGGATTGAAATAAGTACGTGGGATAGCGGACACTGTCTTTAGCGCTGGCGATACACGCTTCTCTGGTTCCTCATCACGGATCTTCAGCAGCACTTTGCCGAC